TACGGTGCCACTTTTAACCCGATACACAATCAACGCTTCTGGACAAAGTGCTGATCTTGGTATGTCACTACCGTTGCGGAGAGGTGAACCCTTAAAACACTTAAGAAGGCATCTACGCTAACACCTGCTCTATGGTAGAGCAGGTGTTCGCGTTGTAATATGTACCACCAACTAGCTCAGCTTCTACCCCCTGTTAGTTATCTTTCTAGTTATCTGAGCACGCCTATTCTTAATTTCAACCATCTGAAACCGGAGGTGCTATGCCTCTGTATTGCAACTTCCATCTGCCAAGCAAGACTGCTCTCTCGGAGCATACAAAAGAAGATCCTCCTGGTTGAAGTGCAATCCTTCTTTGGAGCGGTAAAGCGATCCCAGGGGCACGCTCAACGAGTGTCCAAGATCCTCAGGTCCAAAAAATGCCGGCAAGTCCGCCTCCTCACCGAGGTTCTGCGAGCTAGGTGTCCTACCTAACACTGGTTTTCCAACCACATCGCAATGACAAGGTATACGATGGAGAACCTATGGATTCAAAGTTTCCTCCCGATTTGGCGTCACCTCTTGGCAGCACATCGACTAGCCAAGGAACTTGAAAAGAAGCATCCGATCCACGTGATCGGCAATGTAGACATTTCCACAACAGCAAGACAGGTGCTGGGAAAAGGGCCTAAGTTCGCCATAGCTCCCAAGCTCGAGAGGGTGGACAGGTGGACAACGTTGCTCTTGTAAGGAAGATAGCCGCCAAGGCCCCCCAAGAGAAAGGCCCTCAAATCATAGATGAGGGCATCCAAGCCTTTAAAACCTCAAACACGAAGGCAAGGCAAAGGTGAGCTTCAGATCTAGCATTCAAGAGTTACGAAGGAAAGACCTTAAACTTTGCGTCTCGGACAAAGAAGGAGGTTTTGTGTTTCTGAATTCAAACATCTATGAGGAAAAGGCCCAACAAGCGATCAATAAGAAGTTCATAAAAGTAGACAATAAACGGGCAAAAGCAGCAAAAAGAACCATCATTGACCTGTTCGACCAAAAATCAAGCCAGCCTTTGCACCAAGATCAAAGGAGCGACAAATGGCCAGCTTTCGGTGTTTTTCTCCGCCAAAACTCACAAAGAGGGCATTCCTTTTCGGGCCATGGTCTCCGAGAGGATAACGTGGCAAGCATGTGTTTCAAGGTTTTTGGCACAGCATCTCTCAAAAATACACATTGAGGATTCATTCCGGATTCCGAACTAAGAGCAAGTAATAACTTATCTTGAAGAAAAAGGAAATAGTATAGTCTCGGGGTTTTCCTTGGACGTACAGGACATGTACTACTCCATTCCTCAAGCAAGGCTGTTGCACGTTCTCAGAAATACCATTGAAAATCAAGGCCTTGCGAAGTTCCAAAATGAAGCAGGTGTTAGCGTAGATACCTTCTTGGAGGTTTTAAGGGTTTACCTCTCCGCAACGGTAGTGACGTTCAAAGATCAGCACTTTGTCCAGAAGAATGGAGTGTGTATCGGGTCAAAAGTGGCACCATATTTGTCCGACGTCTTTTTAGGCGCGTGTGGGGTTGCTATATTGCAGTTATTTTTCGGTATGTTGGTGACTTTCTTATTTTATGTACCACCGAAGTTGATGAAATATCAGACGGATGCCTTAACACCACTCTGGGATTTTCAAACAAATTGCATGGGCCTCACCTTTACATACGAGCTTCCCGCTGATAAGTCTATCAGGTTTCTGGATTTGGCCTTAGACTTCCAAAATGAACACGTTTGTTGGAGATACGAAACGCGATCGGGGAAAGGGTTCCTTCCCTTTGACTCCGAACATTCGAAAAATGTAAAGCAAGGGGTCGCCACCACAGCTCTCACAGCTAGCCTCAGAAAAACATGTTCACATCAGATGGGACGAAGCTTCGAGACCCAAATCTCCAGACTCCATGAGGCCGGATATCCGAGACCCTTCTTAGCCTCAATCTGTAAAAAACTCTGCCGAAACGTCAAGAAATCCAGCCGGAAGAATGACTCTAACACACGAAAGAAGGTTCCTAGATCACCTTTCGCGGTGGTTCCGTATATTCATTGTGTCACCCATAGGTTGAAAAAGATCGCCACAAGGCAGGGCGTCAAATTAGTGTGCTCGACACCCAACAAGGGGTGCCGGAAGGTTAATCTAGTGGAGGTCAACAACACTGGCACTTGCAACACCAAACATAAGAATAAGTACGTCCGATGAGAAAAGGGCATAGTTTACAACATACCACTGTCATGTGGGCGTGTGTATATTGGACAAACGGGAAGGTGCGTGAAAGATCGAGCACGTGAGCATGCAGCAAACATAAGAGCCCTAACAGGGCCGGGGCATTTAGCCGCTCATTGTCGAGCATGCACGTGCGAGGCCAAGCTCGAAATGGGAACCATCTTAGCTCACCACAAAGACCAGCTCGCCCGCGAAATACTTGAGGCCTTGGCCATAGAAGATAAAGAAGAAAACTGCGTTAGTTCACCATCTATTGCCCTACAGGGAAGCGAAAAAAGATTCCTTCGGAAAACCAGTATCCGAAATGGCACAGAAAGATCAAGTAGGAAGAAAATGAAGACATTAATAGAGGAGCAACAACATTAAATGATGGAATAAGTTAAGAAAAGGCACCCACAACGCCAATAGACAAAGAGAGGAAAACGAAGGATCATTATTAAATAGTTGGTAGTCCAGCGATCCCTTCTCTTTACTCCTTTCTCCGTATTTTCGTAGTTAAGCTGGTTTAACCGTTGTAATATGTACCACCAACTAGCTCAGCTTCTACCCCCTGAAAAATGCGTGCAATACAATACATCCAGGCAGACACGCCAACAATTATGATGAAACCATTATAGTGCCACAAGCTAGACAATACTCTTTTAAGTATTCTTTCATACCGCGCATTGTTCATGAATGAAATAATTTACCTCTACGCATTATCAATCAGCTCACACCTCTTTGCTTTGTGGCGGCAGTTACTAATCATTTAATGTCATATAGTAATTTAGAATTTCTGTTCTTAAGTGTCTTCTAGTGTTGCTTTAGTTTTTCTTCAATATTAGTATGAGCTTTTCACTTTGCGTAGTCATGTAGCCAAAGCTCATTGATGTTATGTTATTCTTTGTGTGTCTACATTGTACAGCGTACATGCTGTACCGTGTCCACCCTTGCCTTGGACGCCATCTAGGTGTCAGGCAATATTTCCAAAATAGATAAATAAACAAACAAAAATGAAACGAAAGCGATAGCTTCAGCATGGTACGGATTGAAAAGTGCCGTTACGTACCAGAAGATGGAGGTGTGACGTGGTTAATTCTCTTAGCCGCTGTGGTTGGCGTCGTGACGACCACCCCCAGTGCTCAATGATCCGTGAGGTAAGTCTTAAGCGCGGTGGAAGTTTCTAAAACCATCCAACATTACGCGTAGGAAGATACTGCTAAAGTGGGATATGGCATAACGCGAGTAATATTTGAAAACAAGTCTTTCAAGCAGACGACACGGAAGAGTCTCCCTTCGTCGCGTCGTTACTGACGGGATGCCGGGGCTCGATCCCACTATTCTCCCTCCACGCTGCGCGGACGACGGGAAAACCCGACTTCCCTGGCCTTGCACCAAGACCTGAGAGAAGCGTTCTCCCTTAGCGGCGCGAAGGCAGCCCACGAGGTCACAACCTCTGCAGAGTGTCGCCCGTGAAAGCCCTCGCTTAAACAAAATCCGCAAGGTTATAAGCCAGAGCAATAGCCGCAAGGTATGCCTCTGTCTAGCCCGACAGCGGGCAGGCTTCCAAAGCTCTCAGTGACCGTCAAGCAAAACCGAGTTACTGCAACATTGCTAAATATGTGCCTTTGCGTAATCGTTGGACGTGTTCGAGGTTGGTCAGTGTCGGTGATCGCTGTTTTGTCGCTTAAGCTTTACAGCTCGATATTTTACCTCTTTGGGTTCCGCGTGCCTGTCGGTAATGCTGGGTTGCCTTTTCTTCTCCAGGATGTAGTGCTAAAACGTCGTTCTTAAGCTATAAACCTGAAGTAATTACTGTATGCGGTATTTATACACTTAATTTCACTTCAAATCGCCCCGCAGCCGACGCTACGGTCCTATGAAGCTAATCAAGCAACATCAAAAGTGCTTTGCCATGACGCTCATCGTTTTTGTGCGTTCATTATAACTTGTAAGCTTATGCGGAGGGCAAGTTCGTCTGCTTCTTGGACAGCGATTGCGATGACGTCAGAACGCCGAGCACTTAGTGCCCGATTGAAAAAAAGAAATAGTGGGTAGACCTCAAGACATCCAGCATAGAAGTCTGCCCACTATCCTTTTGATCAAAGCCAATCAGAGCTCGCTGTCGTTCTGACGTAACCGCAACCCCATGAACAAGAAGCACACGACTTGCTCCGCATATAACCGACCAAACTAATCACGCACAGTAAATGCGTCCCAATCACAGGACGCATTTAGAAAGACGATGAGCGCTTTGTTAACGCAATCGAGAGCTGCCTGATTGGCTCCACCGAATCCTAGCTACGGCTGCAGTCCGACATAACGAGTAGTGACAGTAGAAAACATTGTTGTACCACTCCTTTAAATAATGCATTTGATACGTTAGACATGTAGAACCATACGACGAAGGGGAGCTTCTGCGCACGCGCAGTGACGACAACAGCGCCACCGCGGCGTCGCTGTGACATCAGCGCCGCGTGTTGGTGTATAGACCAACTCAACTCTCTGACGTCACAGAACTGCAGTGGTGCTGCTGTCGGTACTGGCCATGCGCAGATGGATCGCCTCGCGCGAATCTGGTTTCTTTGCCCGCGCAGTGCCCACACAAGGTGTGGTCCAGACGCGGTCTTGTCTGTAAACAGTGTGTTGGTCGATATGAATTTGAAGATAACGGGTCGCTGGCAATCGTTTCGCTTGCACCGCTGCTGCAGCGCCCCCACCCCGTGGCCCGAGCGGAGGCAGCATGCAGGGCTGCATCCGCGCCTGTCCGGTTAACCGGAGTCCGGTCTGGCGGGGCTGGTGACGTCCCCTCCCCCCGCCCGGGCTGGGAGCCCCGCCCTGCTTCCGCTGCGGCTGGCAACGCTGGCCGTCATCGCCGTCTTTACACTGGCGGCCACGGCGAGCGTAGACGCCGAGCTGGAGCCCTCCTGCCCGGCCTTCCGGGAGCACAGGTGGGGGAGAATTCAGCCGCTTTGCGCAGCACCCCTTGGGGCTGGTTCGCGGATTTCCATTTAGTACCCTAATAACAGTCTAGTTACATGGGAAGACTTAACGATAGCTACGCTTAACCACAGTTACCACGCTATACATGCCTTGCATGTGACGTCATTTGGCACCGTAGCAGCCGCCATTGCTCCATACTTTATTTATTTATTTATTAACATACCTCTAAAGGCTCTAATAGAGCATTACATAGAGGGGGGTTTCATATAGTCGTTTACGTAATCATACAAGATTTCGCAAGGAAAAATAAAAAATAGAAAACATCGTGTCACGCTAAACAGAACCATGAACGAAAGACAATGCATAAAAAAACACACGCGCACTCACATCATTGGAGGCCACCGACGTGCTAGAAACAGCAATAAAGCAATAGACTACCAGCGAGCGAGTAAACACACAGGGCAAGATATAATTCATTCACCCTAAAGATTCAGCAATAACAACATAAATGCATCATGATCAATGACCGTCGCAATTTCACTTGCAACTCATTTCATTAGGCCGCCGTTTTGTACGAACGGGGAATTCCTGAACAGATTAGATATTGCAAATGGAATATCAACTTTGTAACGATGATAATGACAGGGGGAAATGCGAGCCGGCAGGGTATTGTTGTTTTGACGGAAATCCGAGGAGCTTTGATAGAGCTTATGAAAAATGAGATAACCTTGCGAGGTATCTTCGATGGTGGAGAGTCAATAAACCAAGTGAGCTCTTAATTTGAGTGACCCTTATAGGTGAATACGTTTTTAGTTTAAACCTGGGCCCGTTTGCTCGAAGCACTAACCGCGGCTAAAGTTAGCCGCAGTACCTAGGAGAGGGATTTTGAGATCACGTGACTGGCTCGGTAGGGATGCGGGGAAACATGGCAGTGCCCCAGTGAGTGAGCGCCGCTCGCTTTGGAACTAATATGTCGTTGTGGTTGCAATACCGGGCGCGTTAGTCAGCAACGAATGGTGCAGGAGGCTTTCGCTTTGCCTTACCTCATTAAACCGCAAAGCATGGGCATTGACATCGCCGCATTTTTTAGATAGTGTTTCGATTCTGGGCACTCGTAAGCCTAAATGAACGCGATAATTGTCGGCATAGCAACGTCTTTGGAAAGCGGATTGTTGATAGCACACAAAAGCAGACGGCGTCCCAACAGACCTTTTTTCTAAATTATCCAAGCACCGAGGTGCATGCTACGACTGTAGTTGCACGCGTCGCACGTGCTGGCGTCTGCAGTAGTAACCGTTCTGAAGCAAAAAGTATAAAACAAATTTTGCCTCGCACGCGCGTTCGTTAAAGCCTTATTATGATTTTTTACTTCAAATCTTTTATAAGAGGAAGGCCAGCGCGCGTGAACCGTAGAATTACACTTCCAGCGTTCTCCTCGCGATGCTTGGATAATTTAGAAAAAAAGTCTGTCGAGACGCCGTCTGCTTTTGTGTGCTATCAACAATCCGCTTTCCGAAGACGTTGCCATGCCGACAATTATCGTGGTCATTTAGGCTTAGGAATGCGCAGAATCGAAACACTATCTAAAAAATGCGGCGATGTCATTGCCCATGCTTTACGGTTTAATTGAGGTAAGACAAAGCGAAAGCCTCCTGCATTATTCGTTGCATGACTAACGCGCCCAATATTGCAGCTACAACGACATATTAGTTCCAAAGCGAGCGGCGCTCACTCACTGGGGCACCGCCATGTTTCCCCGCATCCCTACCGAGCCAGTCACGTGATCTCAAATTCCCTCTCCTAGGTACTGCGGCTAACTTTAGCCGCGGTTAGCGCTTCGAGCAAACGGGCCCTGGTGGTCCTGTTATGCAGTGATTATAGATTAGTAATTAAATATTTTTGATTCAGGTTCCAAATATAGCTGCATATTTCATCCTTGGCCTGATGAGGGTAGGGTATGCAAGTGCAGTGAAACCCGTTTAGAGCGGACCTACGCACAGCGAATTATTGTCGATATCGAACTCACGGAAAATTTAAATGAAAATGCAACGACATATTGGCGATATCGAACTTTTTTCTCCCAGGAAGGTTTCCAAAAACGCGCTAATAATCGTCTTCTATAGTCGGTTACAAGTCAAGAAGGTAGAAGAAGCTCCTCCCATAAGCGCGATGCGCCCGTTTTAAATCCGTCCCCACTCAAAAAAATAGTTCCCTGGAAACACCCCTCGTTCCGCTTGAATGAATAGATAATGGCTACAGACTGATGCCAACTTGTCCCCGACCCCCACTTTTTAAGAAAGCGACCTTTGTGTTCATCAGAGAGGGAACCGAGCCCCTGCAAGTGGCCTTTGTATTCATCAGAGGGGGAACCTAACCCGCCCCCCCCCCCCCCCCCCCCACCCCCAAGTCGATTTGTTTCCATCGGAGGGGGAAAGTTTTTATCTCTCTCTCACGGCTTCCACAACGCTAAGTCAAAGTCAAAAGATAAAGCAAATATTTACAGGAAGGCAAAACCCTCTCCCGCGTTGGCCACGACGTCACGGAAACGATGGGACGCTATTGGATGCGGAGTTGGCGGAAGGATATATGAATCCTTTTGAGGGGCATTTGCCGCTACCTTCTTGACCTGTAACTTACTATAGCCTGTCCCTTCTCCCCCAAAAAGAGTAGGGAAGAAAGAAAATTTTAAAAGCTCAAGCCGCGAATGAAATTGGGTGGCGATTCAGAAGGGGAGAAAGCTATAAAAAAAAAAAAACACTGCACGCACGCAAAGAAAAAAAGCAAAAACATTTCATCCCAAAGCGGCTGCCCACAAAGAGAAGCGATTCAGAAAATATAAACAGAAAAACAAAACTTTGCGCGCAGGCAAAAAAAAAAAAAAAAAAAAAAAAAAAAGGAAAAAGAAATTTAACACGTTTTACAAGGCGGAAGCGAAGATATGAGAAAGAAACAGGAGCTCTCGGCCTTGCAACGAACCAATCGTGGAAGTTCGTTGTAAATGGTTTTTGCAATATCGAACTACTTGCTATATCGAACTGATCGTAGAGTTCCCTGCTGTTTGTTGTAAGCGGGTTTGACGTAGTTTGGTTTCTGGTGTTGCCATATATAAATGCCTTCTTAAGAAACCAAGGTACTGGTTTGCCTTCCCAAGGATATAATCTAAATGAGTGTTCCAGGAGAGGTTGAAAGTTAAATGGACTCCTCAATATTTATATGTGGATACTTTATCTAATTTTGGATCTATAACTTTGTAGCTGCATTGAAAAGGTGAGCGACGACTGGTAAATGTAATTGTTTTTGTTTTATCAATATTTCTCTGCATTTGCCATGTGTCACACCATGAAAGCAGGATATCCAAATCACTTTGAAGAGTTAGGCAGTCGCTATGACGAGCTATTTTATACCACACAATCGTCGGCAAATTGGCGAACCTTTGAAAAAATACTGTTCGGGAGGTCATTTATATAAATTCAAAAAAAAAGTGGTCCAATAACGGATCCCTGAGGGACACCAGATTTGGCATGTATAGGTGGTAAGGTGAAGTCATTTGCAATCCTTGGTTGATCTCGATCGTGCAAAAACTCACGAATCCATGTAATTACCTTATAATTATTTTGAAATATTGCAGTTGTTTTTGTATTTGACGACTGTGTCGTTCACGGTCAAAGGCCTTTGAAACGTCTATAAAAATAGCGTCGATTTGCGAGGATGAGGGAATGCAGGTATGGAAATCTGTTACCAGTTCAAACAGCTGGGTTTCGCAGCACAAAAGACTACATCGAAAGCCGTGCTGATTGGGATATATCAGGTTATTTAAGACTAGGTGTTTTCTTACAGATGAATATATTATATATTCTAAAAGTTTACAAAAAACGGTGGTCAATGAAATTGGTGTATAATTTGTTAGACAATTTCGATTACCAGATTTATAAATCGTGACAACATTAGCAGATTTCCATTCGTCCGGAATCCAGCCGTTTTAAGAGATTGCTGGAATAAGCTCAAGCGCGGCACCTGACACACCTTTTGTTAGTTTAAGCAGCTTCAAACATACACCATCAGAACCCTAGCTGGATTTTGTCGGCAAGCGGACGATGACACTGATGACACCCTGAATATGAATTTGCACATCGCCCATTTCTGGAATGATGTTATAGGTGTAACAAGGCGGTCAGATGAAGGGAGCCTGCCGGTAAACACTTCACCAAAAGATGTGTTAAGTTTAAAAGTTGACTCGGATGCAGAAAGCTTTACGTCACCTTCTTAAAGTAAAGGAAATGTATTCTTTTCTTTGGAGTTTAGAACATGCCAGAACTTGTTTAGATTTGGTTTTAGTATGCTAGATAAATCGTTGTTGAAAAAACTATTCTTTTCTTATCTAATTTTTGCATAAGCCCACACAATCTCGTACGACTGCCAGTCACGGTCTGCATTTGAAGAAGTGGCCTTTTTGAAAAGTCTCTTCTTTTTGGAGATCAAGCGTTTTACGCTTCGAGAAAACCAGGGACAACCCTCCCTCTTGGTAATGAGCAACTTAGAAACAAAAGTGTTTTTCGTATATAAATTAGCTTGTTTTTTTATTGAGACCCAGTTTTCTTCAACAGAGTGTGTATGGAAGATGCTTTCGTACTGAATCAGAAAGTTTTACAGTGTTACCGCAATACCACTATGATTTGCCTATGATCAGTCATATATAATTGTGTATAGGTTCAGTCTCGAAATATTTGGCATCTTAGCATAAATAAACAATTCTACGATCACTAATTTCGCCCAGCACGCGTACAGACATGCTTTCGGGGTGAGTGGCACAAAAAAGGTCCAGTACTGCACCTCCTCGTGTGGGTTTATTTACCAACTGTTTAATTAAAAAAGAATATAAGAGATTTATAAAACTTGAACACTCTTTTACACGTGAGCAAGTATTACGCATTTGGAGGTTGGACCACGCTGCTGTGCCCGTACGTTCTGCAGCATACACTTCGCAAAATCGAGTTCATCATTCTTGACA